ACACACACACACACACACACACGCACACAACACACGCACACGTACACGTATGTGTGTATATATATGCTAACTTGCATGTGGCTTGATATTGTTTCCTACCTTTGCTCTTTATAGTGCCGCTTAGTAAATCTTATTAGCTAATTCTTTGCGTAGCGCTTTCACATTCTATTTGCATGACTGCTTTCGCTTATAGTTGCCTTTCTTATTTTTTTTTTTTAGGAAATTAGCAGTAATGCATCACAAATAGTCCAGAATGCCTCTGTACAAACAGTTCCATGGGTGCTTTGGTAAGTTTTGCATAAAAATTCTACTGCTCTGTTGCATTGCGGAAACAGACGTACAATTTTTGTGTGAAACGCAGTGGAGATGAAGCATTCAGATGAGCGTTCGTTTGTGTAACAGACAGTCGTAGCTGTGCTAGGTGACGCTGCACCACCCATTAAAATACAGAGGTCATTGTGGCTCGATGGTTAATGCACTGCATCGAAATGAATCGCATCCGTTGCATGCAGAAAGAACACATGATGCCTTGCTTTCTTTAGTTAACGAGCCTGCCTAAACCAGTACCAGTGATATTTAATTTCAGTTAAATTTCGATGAAACAATGTCACATACAGATGGAACGACAACTGACCTTCAGAAACGTGTTCTTTAACATGGATGCATGAGATACTCACTTGCGTAGATGGTAGTTCCCACACATTCGCAGCAATGTTTCGGCTCACTTCCTCTCCACGTCAGTTCTTCAATTCCTCGCCTTCCTGTTACAGCCACCAGCAGCAGGTGATGCTGAAGAAGGATCGGGAGGAGAAGCTGCGAGCGTTGGAGGACGCAGCGCGCGGGGTCCCGCCACACATCCACCTCGGCCGGAGCTTCGATCCAATGCGGAGGATGTCACCAGGTGACCGGCCACCCTCGATGTGGAACCCCAGGATGTAGCTCGCATCACGTGATGCGTTGTTCGCTTGAGAAGAATGTGAACGAGATGCGAGGATCAGACTGGGTGTGTGTGTGTGTGTGTGCGTGTGTGCCTACGTGGGTGCGTGCGTGCGTGTGTGTGTGTGTGCCTGCTGCACTGGTCTATCCAAGAAGGCAGTTTAAGGGCATGTAGATAATGTTATTGCAATGATACAATGAATGACTCTTATTCGGATTTCATTGTCATCCATGCATATAGGGGCACACTGTGACACTATCTATGTACATATATATATATATATTAAGACAATTTTCTCGTATATCAATTTTGTACAGTTTTGCACCTAAAAATATTTTGTGACAGATTTCATAATTTTTGTTTTGTTGCGATCACACACTGATTTCTATTGCCTTCTCAGTCTATGTCTTTCACGCGTTTAAGTGTCAGCGGATGTGACAATTATATGACAAACGTTTTTATTGTTGTGGAGCAATAGGTGACAACATGTTGCCTTGCACTCTTTAAATAGTGTTGTGGTATGAAATGAGTGCATGGCATTTAAGTGTAAATCTTCATCATGAATGTACTTGCTTAACACATATTTGCTGACATTTTCAACTCAGTGTTTGTGTAGGTGCGTCCAGATTGTAATATCTTTCATCAGCTAGTAACTGCTCAATGAGACAAACAACAGATGTCTAAGGCAGGTTTCTTACCAAAATGTGTCAATGTCTCTAAAGCTTGCTGGGTATATATTACGAAAGGAAATACCGAAGTTTAGTACTTACGCTCACCGATGTTGACATTAGAGTTCTAAATATTGGATTCCAGCATTATTTTCTATCAATAATTTTTAATAGTGAGGTTAAAGTGAAGTACCGCCTTCTCACTTGTCTGTGCAAGACATATTGCAGGATAAGCATTTGTGCAGAAATACGGAGCATATGCAAACATATATGTCAGAGTTATGTATCTTGTTGTTATTCTGCATAGATCTGCATAATTGTTAGCGCATTATCAGAATTAATCGCACTCGAATTTATCTCAGAAAACTAATGGCTTGCTGTACTTGTCACTGCAACGGTGTGACAATGGCTGAACCTGATTCCACTGAGAGAAAAGCTCTTTTATGGTTAGATTGTGGCGCGTATATTAGAGGGTGTTGATGGCGTACCCCGAATCTTAGTTCACACAGAATGTTTGGACTCTTTTCAATTTTCAGTGATTATATTTATTTGTTACTAAAATTTGTTGATTGATTAACCAAAGCATGCCGACAACCAAGATGTTTACGTATAAAAAGTTAAGCAAATCGAAATTCACGGTAAAGGAATAGGCAAGTGTATTTATGCTAACGTTAATTTCTAGAAGGCTATCCAGGATCAGGCCAGGCAAAAAATCTCAACTGACGGAAGAAAATTTTCCATTCTAACGTTGAAACACTTTGCAGTTTCTTACCTTACGCTATACCCTATTAGCTCCATTACATAGTGGAGGATGTACAAACTTCTCGAAATGCGTTGGAACGCGAGTAGCATCTGTAGCTGTCTTTCTCGAGCCTGTTCTCTCTATTTGTGCACACATAAATAAATACAAGGCTTGTTCTTTAGTTCTCATACGTGAACATCGAGATGCTAGTGTAAATAACGTGTGATATTGTATGTGATGTGACGGTCGCGAAACTGTAACGTATATAGGTCGAAAGAGGCGCCTTTCTAAAACGCGTGTGGATAGCATATTTTGTACGAGATGCACCGGTGTGTAGCTAGCTGCGTGTGAATGTTTGCACAAACACGGGCCCTTTCTCAAGATTCCACTTGTCGGTTCATTAAATATGTTGGAGGGGGAATTAGGCAAAACAGTCGCAAGCTGCACAACATCGTCTCGGCAAATGGTAAAATATGCACATGACAATAATGAGTTGCTTCAGAACGTGTAGGTGTATCATGGAGCGTGAAAGCTGGGGTTATAATGGATTAGTTAATACAATGACGCCCTTTGACAAGACTGAATATTTCGCCGTTGCCGGGTTCGGTATTGCGCACTGCAGCGTGTGATGGTGTGTCAGATGGCGATGTCCATCTCTTGCACGGCTGTATAGATGTGTTGCATATCTTTAGCAGCAGCGCCATCCGTGCTGTTTACTGTTTCGTGAGGTACATCGCTGTTAGGATACCGCCGCGATACGAGTGATAACTTGCGGGGTATCAGTTGACACGAAGTCGGTGTTTAAGCCACGAGCGAAGAAATACTCTTCATTGATATCATCAGGAATGGATAATAGAGATAATCTCTGCTATCCACTCCTGATATTATGAGCGTTGCCGACCCTCTAACGTTGAATCTTCCCCGGCCCCCCATACAGTCAACACCTTGCAATGTAACAGTGTAGTTTCTTCTTTTTTGTGGTCGTGTAAGTTGCACCATCCGATGTGTGTTGTTTTGCACGAATATGCGAATATATATATATATATACATATATATATATATATATAATACTAATATATATATATATATATAATACTATGCCCAAAGATGTATGAAATCGAACAGTGGTTTGTATAATATTAGTAGTTTTTAATGGAACTAGCTGGGCAATTTTATGCCCTAGCGACCATTTTCGCTTCTGCGTGTAACATATGCTCGTTGTTTTATGTGATAGAAATTGTGACATATTTCACATACAATAAATAAATGACGTCAAACATACTCCAGGCCGCCTTGTGTTGTTTCGATTCCCATCCGAATTTAGCTCCGCGTTATCTTCTTCTTCAAATGTTGTAATTCGAAGCCATCTGCGCACCCACTAGATGAACATCGGAGAGCACTTTTCCACAATACAAGGACGCCACCACGAGCCCATAAAACCACCTGTATGTTTAAAATCGCGATCTCTTGATAATCACTCGATTTGAATGTCACTAAGAATTGTTGAAATGCCTTATAACTTGATTGACATATACGTTTTTCTTTCCTTGCGTTTTTTAACGACAACGGTAGTTAGTTCGGTATTATTTTATAGGATAATAATATTATTTGTAATCAGTTGTAGCTATCGCTGGTGTTTTTATAACTTTATTAACTGTTTTGTTTGTTTTTGATGTTTCTGTCAACTCTACATTACTTGCGATCAATTCATAAACAGAGCTGTACGTCTGACCTATACCTGAGCGTTGTATAAGGGATAGTAAATAGTAACAGTGTGGGAGTGTATAATATAGACTATATACTAGAGAAAATGAGAGAGCGCGAGAGAGTGGAGGGCGAGCGAGCCGACAGAGAGGTGGGAAAGCGAGAGAGAACGACGAGCAAGAAGAGGGGAGAGAGAGAGAGAGAGAGATGAGAGAGAGAGAGAGGACATATCACGAGAGAGTGCGAGATGCGAGCAAGCGGCAGAGAAAGAGAGGGGGAGAAATAGATAAATAATAGTCCTCAAAGTCTTAGGGACGTTCCAACAGTATCGAATTCTTCCTCTTTCTATCCAAGATCGAACCTACTCGCTATCTCTCAATCGAACGCTGTCTATTTCTATTCGCCAAAATCTAACCCTCTATTTAGTTCTTCTGATTTTACTTCCCTCCAATCGTACTCTACTATACTTACTGTCTTTCCCCCAATCGAACTCTCTAACGTACTTGCGTTTTAATCGAACTATTTATCGGAATGTAAACAATGGGAAAATCAAAACGCAATCAGCTGAGCAGCTGTTGGCAGTGACATGACAATTATGTAAACACAAACATGGCCGAGCCCAATTC